ATAGCTGTTTTTAAAATAGTTGAGAGTATAAAAAAAATTTTTTTTTACAAATACTTGAATACTCGAATATTTGATTAGTTTAAATTATTCAAATATTCTAGTATTGAGTATTTGCAAAAAAAATTTTTTTTGTACTCTCAAATATTTTGAAAATAGCTTTAAATTATTTTTTACTTTTTATAATTTTTTTTATATGTTTTTTTTAATTATTTTTATATATTTTTTAAATTATTTTTTTTTATATTTTTTTAATTTTTTATATATTTTATTAAATTGTTTTCTTATCTATTTTTAATTTATCACTATTTTCAAAATAGTTGAGAATAGCAAGATTTACAAAAAAAAAATTTATATAAAAACCTGAAAACCTGATTAGTTTAAAACAATAATCAATAATTAATTATATACTTGTATAATGTTTAAATATTCTAAACTAATCAGGTTTTCAAGTTTTTATATAAAAAATTTTTTGTAAATTTTGCTATTTTCAACTATTTTGAAAACAGCAATAAATTACTTTTTTGTTATTTCTTAATTTTTTTTTTAATTTTTTATATGTTTTTTAAAAAAGAATTTTTTATTTTTTCGCATATGCAATGTATCGCACTCTATAAGATCTGGTGTAATGTGAAATCAAAACAATAAAATTAATTCATTAGTTTAGGGTTAGGGTGAGAGTTAGGTTAGGTTTAGGTTAGGATTAGGGTAGAGTGCTTTAGCAAAAAGGTTCTACCCAAAATTTCGAGAGAAATTTTTTTTGTTAAAACCTGAGAGATGGTTTCATAGACAAAATTTCTTGCTATAGCCAATTTTTGAAAAAAAATTGTTATTGCTTCAATTTCACGTTACACCTGATCCTGCACTCTAATTGGTTGATCAGGGTGGCAATATGTCGCCATGGCGATAAATTATAAAATCCTTTAAAAAATTAATTTTTTATATTTTTTAATTATTTTATTTTTTTCTATATTTTATTTAATTTTATTAATTTTTTTAAAAATTTTTTTTATAATTTTTAATTAAATTTTATTTTTTTTTTATATATTTTTAAATTATTTTAATTGATAATCTGGATAAAATCAGTATAATTACTATATTGGGACAATAGTAAATTTTGAGAATAAGTATAATATAAATTTTTATTATATACTAGAATCTGAGCAGAGTCAAATGAAAAGTATTTTTTTTATTAAGTTCAAAGTCAATTAATTGAAAGTTGTAGAGCTTACTGAGACACATCTAATAGTGGTTAGATCTTCCAAATTAACTTGGTTGATACTGAGATATTACTAAAAAACATTTGACAAACTATATAAAATCTCTATGATTGTTTACATAGAATTTTATATAGTTAGCCAAAGGGTTTTTAGCAATATCTCAGTATCCATTAGGCTAATTTGGAAGATCTAACTAATATTAAATATGTCTCAGTGAGCTCTACAACTTTCAATTAATTGATTTTAATTGTTAACTTAATAAAAAAAATATTTTTCATTTGACTCTGCTCAGATTCTAGCATATAGTTAATATTATAGAAATTTTGCCCCAAATTCTAATATAAAAATTGTGCCAATCTTATCTGAATCAGCAATTAAATTACTTTTTATTTTTTTTATATATTTTAGTTTTTATTTTTTTAATTTTTTATATATTATTTTTTAAATTATTTTTTTATATATTTTTAATTTATATTATTTTTTATTGTTTTTAATTTTTTTTTAATATTTTATACTATAATGCTTAGGAAAATATATGTCTTAAATTCTCTACTTTGTAGAGTAAACCAAGAAAGAGTTTGCATAATGTTTAATAATAATACTATAATGTATTGAAAGAAAATATTTAATTTGGCAAAGATTAATATATATTGTAAAGTATATACTTTATTAGATAAATATATATGAAAATAGTTGATGCCTTTCTATTATAGTAAATGCTTACACTTTTATATAATTTCTTATATGCTAATTGTGCTAGTTGTACTAAATATGCCTAATATGCTAGATATGCTTAATATGCTAAATATGCTTGATATGCTAAATATGCTAAATATCCTGAATATTCTAAATATTCTAATTATGCTAAATATGCTAAATAAATATGCAATAGATTGTCCAATTTGGTTATATTATACCAACACTTGATTTGCAATTATGACAATATATCATTTTTAAATAATTTTTTTATTTTTTAATTTTTTTTAATTTTTATACATTTTTTTAAATTATTTTTTTATATATTTTTTTAATTTAAATTACTTTTTTTTTAAAAATTTTTTTATATATTTTCTAATTATTTTTATATATTTTTTTTATTATTTTTATACTTTTTTTTAATTATTTTTTATTTTTTTCATATTTTATTAAAATTTTTTTTTTTTTATTTCTTTGATAAGTCTTGCTGTGGCTTGATCTCTTTAGTTATTAGTATATACAAATTACATACATTTACTTTTAAAACTAGTCTAAAGCCTGACTTCACTCAGTTGTCTATTTCAGTACACAAGCGCAACTTATCACAAAAGCTTACAGATAAGCTAAAAAAAGTTCTTTTTATGAACTTTGTTTAAAAGGGGTTTTCACTCTTTTGAATCCAATGTTAGCTCTTAAAGAACTAAAATATTAGAACTAATTTCTCTCTTAATTTTTTTTTCTTCTCAAGAAGCACGAGACAAAAAGGGAAAATAAAAAAAAATTTTTTAATGAAAATGACCAAAAAAGAAACAAACAAAATAGTGTGGCAGCTTAGTGAAGTAGTCTAGTTGTCACACCTCCAAGCGACAAGTCTAGAGTTCAAATCCCACAGATGATGATTTTGAAAATTAAGCCTGTGTTCGGTAATGATTATCCATTGATTGATTAGATCTACAATTTGTAATCTTGGTTGCACTATCTTGTTATGGGAGCTTCAGTATATAAATGCCAAGAAACTGGGATGATTGAAACCTGTTTGGGAAGTCCCAAGTAAGAAGTAGTAGAAACTTTTGACAGTGCCACAGGAAGACCGAATTCAGAACTGGAAACTAAGACCAGAGAACTGAGTGACTAGATTCTTAAGTGGGGGACATACCAGCTGAACCACCGGATTACCAACTGGAGGAAAAGGACATATGCTCTGGAAGCATGTACTAAGAAAAGGAAGACTGTAAGGCACCTAAAGCCTGGGCAGACCAACCCTTCTGGGTTGCTAGCTGGAAACAAGGGAGAGACTGGTAAAGAATTTAGAAAAGAAAGAAAGTTCGAATTTAAGTACTAGAGTAGATTGAATACTTTGATCCAATTAATTAAGAGTAATAGAGCTCTATATTATATTATAAGGCTATAATTCAAGTTACAGGTTAAATTATTATTTTTTTATATGAATTACAGATATAGAAATAAGCAATTTGTTTTAGTGCAATTCTTAATATCAAATCATATACTTCACAAGTGCACCCTCTATAAGTGCACACTCTTTCTCAACTTTCAGCTCAAATATATATGGTCTCTATAAATGACTTGTTTTTATGGTCTTCTAAGTATATGCTGCTAAAGGTTTTACTGTAGTTCTTTGTTGAGGAACTCACACATTTGTCATTGAGAATATAGGATATATCTAACTGTTTATGAATTTTATTTAAATAATTAATCTATTTAATGTAGCAAACTAATACTAAAGAAGTTAGGCCTATTGAATAATTAATTGTAGAGCAATTGTTATAGATTAATTATTGCAGTTTGCAAAATTTTGTAAATTTGATATATCATTAAAAAAGATGATTTCTAATTCTGATTGCTGATTTTTTTAACATTTTTTTGCAGAAATAAAAAGTTGTAGATTCATCATTTTGTAATATATTTTGATTTGGCATCTTTTGTAGAAATATAACTTGTATATTCATCATATTGTAAAGAACTTTAATGTGTAATATTAAATTTTGATTCTTTTCTAATCCTATATTTAACAAGAAGAAAATTTAAAAGTTGCACACACCAAATTTGATCTTATAAGAATTATTACATAATACTATAATTTGTTTATTACTGATAAAATCATGGAATTTAAAAGTAAAAACATAAGAAGCTTTATTATATTTATTTATTAGAATATATATATATATTTCATTACAATAAATTTTACAAGTAGATACTTTGTATATCCAAAGCATGTTCTGGATAATTTTTGTTATTATAAATATTTTTTTTTTTAAAAAAAAAAGTATTTTAAATAAATATATTATATATATATAACAATAAGTCTTTATATAGTATATAATATTAGTTAATATATGTTAAAGAAATCAGCAATCAGAATCAGAAATCATCGATTTCTTTTTTTTGATGATCTACTAAATTTACAAAATTTTGCAAACCACAATAAAACCACATTTAGTCAATTAATTAAATTGTACAACCAGTGAATATAAAAGTTACGTACATATGTACGTACGAACCCAAAAAATGGAACAATTTAATAAATCATAAAATCTTTAATTTATGAACAGATTATTAGAAAACTACTTCTATAGTAAATCCTGAGATGTTTAATTACAATGCAAATATCATTAATATTTTAACTGATTGAGCCTTATCATAAAGTGCCAATTACCTCTCAATATTTGGGGCAACTAATTTTAGTTTCAATTACATATCTAAAACATCAACAAAATTTATAGTAAAAACAGTCCTCACTAACAGAATGACCTTTTGGGACTATATAAATTATAATCCTGAAGAGTTGTTTTGTTAGAAATTGAAAGTTCCAGTCACTAGATGCTGTAGCAGTAGATCTCGGGGTCAATCGTAAAATTTTTCATGCCCTCCTGAAGGAAGTTAATCTTAATGCTGCAAATTGAATTCAATTTTTTTTTAATAATGTTGATACATATAATACAATTTAATTACAATTAATTTTTCTGAACCAGGAAGTTGATTTTAATACTTCAAGATTTGTATTATATGAGCTTAGCAGTTAAATTAATATTTATTATGATTTATTGTATATTCACATATTTACAATGATTATCTTTGAAAATTTAAATAATTACTATCGCTATTATACAAAAATAATCTTAATATATTTGACTTTTCACGTGTTAGAATATCAAGTGATTGAGTAGTAGAATTCATATTTTTGATATCTTCTAGCACTTTCTTGTATAAACTAAACTCCTGTTGGATTTCTTTGTAAGTGTGAATGACATGTACTTTAAATACTGTTTGAATGAATCTTTTTAATGCATTTTGTATTACTTCTATGAACTTGGATTCTTGAGCATTTAAAAGATATTTTTGTAAAACCTTTTTGTACCCTCATAGTTAATAAATCTATTTAATCTGTCTTTATCAAGAGCACTTGAGTTGCTTGAGTTGCTATTATTATAAATGGATAAATATCAATATAGAATCAAATAGTAATACTAAATTAATAATAATATTTATCTAGAATTCCTTATATATTCATTAGCAAGGATCTTAAGATCTTTATTAAGAGTGTATTGAAATTCACTAAACATCCCTTTAGACTTTTTAAGAAGTTGTTGGAAGTCATCATCAGCAAGCTTAGAATTTGGCAATATCATAGCTACTAGTTGATCGAATGCTGCTTGTGATGAATTCTGAGTATGAAGAAATAAGCATTTTAACTCTTCAAGCTATATTCGAAGTCTTGACTAAATAACAAATAATAGTCTCACAATTAGGTATAATTTTTTTTTTAAATATCTAGTAAATATAGCTTTATGCATAATATACATACATCTAAAGTTGATTCACTGATTGATTGTTTCTCATTATCTTGACTTAATAATAGTTTTAATAGTTTTTTGATAAGAAGCTCTTTAGATATAGAAGATTGGCTCCTGCTTATTTGTTTACTTTGATATATCATATTAGCCACAGAGAAAATTTCGGGACTATTCACAACAAATGTTGTGATCTCAAACAATATTGCATCTTGGCAGAATATATTAAGTAGACTAAAAGCTAAAATCTAAAGTTATGAGAAATCAGGAAACTAATAAATAAAGTTATAGTGGTCTTTATATGAAGTAGATAGTTAGTTCATTGTATCTAAGAATGTACTTGTCAATTTTGGAAACTGTTCCTCATATAAATTAGTACTTTACAGAAACATGTTAATTTTTTTCCATTAATTTATTTTAATCTTAAAGATAATAATAAAATTATTAAAATTATATCTTATAATAATTTTATAATATTTAAAATTATCTTATAATAATCTTATAATAATCTTACAATACTCTTATCATATAATTATCTTAAAACTATCTTATAATTATCTTATAATAATCTTATTATAATCTTAAAATAATCTTAAAAACATCTTATAAAAATCTTATAAATATCTTATAACAAACTTATAATAATCTTAAACAATAATCTTAAATATAATTTTATCATAATTTTATAATTATTAAGTTATAATTTTATTATTATTCTTATATATTAAATCTTAAATTTATAATAAAATAATTTTTTAATTATAAAAATATTATATTAATATCTTTAATATTATCTTAAAATTATCAAAAAAAATTAGCTAGTTTCTGTAAAGTATTTGATTCAAATTCATAATTTTGTAAAAAAGAAATAGAATTAGTTGTTCATTGAACTTGTCATTGATTAGGAACATTACTATTAGGTTCTAAGTTAATTGCTTGAATACTAATTTCAGAATTTTGTCAACCAGAACTCCTGCTAACTTCAAATAAAGTGTTACCAATTTCAAGATTAGGTTGGTCAGAAAAAATTGAAGTGTTGTTATCTTCAGATGGGTCTGTTTTGGAAGTATGCTGTCTGAAAAGAATTGAATCAGTCTCTTGTGAATAAACAATCATGGTTGTATCTCGACTATTTTGAATTAAATAGATTTTTTTTTAGTTTCTTTTTATATATATATATATTAGTGCTTCAATCCGCAATCTGACTAATTCGAATTGATCTAACAATTCAGATAAAATATGGATATCCTTATCTGTCAATTTTAAACAGATAGATCTGTAATATATTTCGGATTGAGGATAAGAATTATTCAGATTATAATCCTTATTCATCATATTATGCAGTTCCCATGAATTTTTAATAAAATGTTTATCTTTAAAATTGTCTTATATGGAATTAATATTTTAATTATATAAAAGCAAATTTTATTTATTGTACTTCTTTAAAACAGATATTTAATGTCAGCCTTGATATTATGTGTCATCACGGGGTGGTTATCGTGCGTTAGTGCAGCTGCACTGCACTGACGCATGATAAATGATCACCCGTGATTATAAGGTTATTAGATCGAAATCATTTTAGCTTATTTCAAATACCAAATGTTTTTTTTTATGGTTTTTTTTTTTGTCTATTTATTTGAGGTTTTAATATTATTCATTGCTTTGTTATCTCACTCTGGTGCAAAAACCTGCATTGTATTCATATTTCTTTTTAAGAACAATATTTTACCTACTAAGGCCAGATCTAAGCTTGTTCTTTTAGAGCTAATCAATTTTCTGGTATTCGAAAATAATCTTTCACTGGAAACTGATATAGCTGGTATTGGAAGGTATTTTTGGGCAATTCTTGTAAGTTTTGGAAAATTTTTCATATGAATTTTCTACCAGCCCAAAGGATCTTTAGTATTTGGTACTGATGATAATAATAGATAATTTGAAATTTCATCAAGAGCTTGCGAATCTGATACTGATTTATCTTTCTTTTTTCTTTTCAGTTGCCATTGCTAAAGATACTCTTTGTGAGATCGCATTGCAGATTCTGTGTTAGGTGGAGTTGGATGGATTGATAGTTCAGACATTGGTTCTTCTAATTCATTAAATTTGTCATAAAGTCTTTAAATAGTTAGTTGCTTTTCAGAATCATCTTCTAGAAAATCTAAGCTTTTATTATGTGGATCTAGCAAAGCTGCTATCAAACCAAGATCGTTTGGATTGTTCCAATAATTGATAAGTGCATCATAAATATTTTTTTTAATTTGTTCTAAGATACCTGTCGTATTTAACAGATTTTTAATTAAAATTTTTTTTTTTGTAATGTTACTTATAATATCATCATCATCAAAATCAATGGGCTGCATGACTTAATTATCTGATTCAAATATGGTTGCTTCATCCAAAAACAGATCATTATTTGAAGGAGTTTCACATACCAAATCAAAAATTATTTCCTTAATAGTTGAAATAACCTTGCTTAATGTTACATATGTATTTCCTGAAAATTCTCGTATTGCATTCTCGAATAGCATCAACAAGTTGATAAGTTGGTCTAATAGTTCCTATTCATCATCCGAGAGAAGTATCCTTTTTAATTTTGTCTCATCTTTTTTTATTTTCTGATTCTGTGAAGTATATAAATTCGTCTAAAGCTGAATTATAGCATCCTTTAAAAAAAAAGGCGATTCCAAGAATAATATAGGAAGTTTAAACGAGTAGTCACATATTAAATGCAATGCAAAATATCTGAATAACCAAGGTTTTTTTGCACTTTCTCTAATCGTTTTATCTGCTTTTGATATTGAAAGAATTGAATTAGTCTTTTTGTATAGGCAACTAAAATCGCTGCTGGTGCTAGTCCTTTTCAATTGCCAACTGAAGAGTATGAGCCGAACATGAAAGGCACTTAATCTTTTTGCATCCTTTTTTTTGAATTAATAAAGGAAAAGTTGAGACCATATTACATCCGTTGTCAGTGGTGATTGATGTTATATGATCCCCAAGATTCCAGGTTTTAATACACTTATAAAGTTCTTCAGAAATAGCTCTACTAGTATGCAGCGAGGGAACATACTGTTGGGGGCGAAAACGGCGAGTCTGTCACTAGAAGACTAGAATTCTCGTGCTATGTCAATTTCAAGGCTTGAATAGAGGCGTGTATACGATTTGGCAAGTATCAATTTATTCTCTAAGGGTTTTGTTTATTTTTAAAAGACAAATTTACTAACACTTGATCTTTGCCCTTACTATAATTTCAGGCACATAGAAGATGAGTTCTTTATTTAATTTTTAATTCTCTTTTATACATTTCGATTTTCTATCACTAAATTTAATTCTTCTCCTTTTTTTTTTTTATTTTTATTTTTTTTTTCCTAGATCCCTTTCCCGCCACTTTTATTGATTCCATCACTCGATCTTGGGGGTTTCAGTGGATTTGGTAAAGCTATTTTCTTTGTTTTCCTATTTTTAACAATTTCTAGCCTACTAAACCATCTCTTCTTTTCGTCATTATAATTAACTCGATTATATGATCTATGAGTTTCACTTAATTCAGGTAATCGTTCTTCTATTTTTATCTATTTTATTTCACTAACCCAACTACTATTTAACACCAACCCTGCCTAGAACAGCCTCTATGAAATATTCTTTTTCTTGCCGCATTGTAGTAGTACGTCTGCTTTTGAATCATATGATCGTATAGGACCCAAATATGCAGATTTCACCCAATTTTGGTTTGATCGTAAATGCCAAATTCTGGGGCATCGTTGTTGCGCCAAAATCATAAATCGTTCTCCGATCCGGGACCTGATCGTCATTTGAGTCATATTTTAGGTGGTCACGATTTATTCTGCCCGTGACAATATTTATTTTCTAACATTATATCCTTAATTTCAAAAGTTGGAGTAATCCAAGTGGCAGTAATTTCTAGATACCCATATCTAGCTTTACTGGACCAAAAGTTTGCCAAAAGTGAAATGTTTTCTATATTTTGGGTAAGAAGATTCTGTAAGTTCTCCTGGTTATAATTGTAACTTTTGGCAATCATAGTTCTGATTTTTTTTTCTCCCAGAATAATAAAGGAAGAATTAAATTTAGCCATTTTTTCTTTATATGCTTCATTAGTGACTGTAGAGAGAGGCTAGTTTAAATGCAATATCCATTTGAGAAGCACTTCCTCACGTCTTTTTTGAATACATTGAGGATGAGGTTTAACTTTCAGCACAAATTCAGTAATTTTGTAATCTCGTGGCTAAAAAAAAAAAAATTAATATTTTTTAAAACTTCTAATAATTAGGCTATATAAAAATAATTTATTGGTTCTAATTAGAAGTGCAGATGAATCGTCACAATAATGCCATAACTTTGCTATAACATGCCATAACTATATTAAATAATTATAAAAAGTTATGGCAAACATGCCGTAACTTTTTATAATTATTTAATATAGTTATGGCATGTTACAGCAAAGTTATAGCATTATTAGGATAATTTATTTGCACTATAACATAAAATTCTAACAACCTGGCATTTTAAAAAATTTTTAAATGCCAAATAAAAACTCCCATCCAGATACAAAATTTGATCCGTTCAGTTATGAGAGCCAATTTGTTATGTTTGTATAGCCTTATGTATTTAATTTTTCTAATACCTTTTTTAAATTTTCTACATCATCTCATGAAACAATCCCGTGACTGTCTCTAAGGTGCATAATGAGATTTCCTGTTGAACTTCCTATATTCTTGTATTTTTGGCCACATTTTTGATCACTTTTTTTATTTATAATTTTGCAAACCCAAAATTTCTCACCATCAATTACTTTTTTTTCAAAATAATCTTAAGTAAATGATGGATTTTTATGTTTATATGGTCTTTTATTTTCAGTTTTTTTGGCTAAAACAAAAATTATAAGAATGAATTGTTTGACTATTTTAGGATTTCTTATACTAATTTTATTACTTTTATTTTTGCTTTCTGAAGAAGAAAAATTAGAACTCGTCTGAATGTTTGGTTTAATAGTTGTTGATGAAAAGGTTTTCATCGAGGTTCCTGAACTTTTTGCAACTTCATGGTTAAAATCACCAAGATAATCATCAAAATCATCTTTCATCATTCCATAAGGCTCCATTATCCCATAGAGATCCGTCATCTTGTAAGATTCCTCATAAGGTTTCTCGTAAGGTTCTATTATTGCTTTCTGATTTTTACGCAAGATAATTTTAATGAGTTATTTACAAAAAAAGTTTATCAACTTTATAGATCTCAATCCCTTATATTTAGAAAATTGGTTATAACTGCTATATAAGCATCATAATGCCTATATGCACATTATTTTGCCATTTTTCTGATCTTGATATTTCTAGAATAATACGCATGTGTGCCTTCATATTATAGCCTAACCTGTTATTTGATTAATTAATCCATCATGCTTTAATCCAATTCTTGTACAGATTTGGATAATCTAAATGGAATAATTGATTTTGTTGTTGATTGTCACAGTATTTATTTTATAATAATTATAGTGCTTTGCAAAAAGATGTGGCCCTTGATTTTTGTGATGATGAATAAGGAAAATTCTAAATTTTCTATTGATTCATATTTTTAATTAATTAAATTTATATTTATTTGAAATTGGCAAGATTCTTAAAATCTACAGAATCTCTGATTTTTACATAGCATTGTAATCTGCAGAGGTCACATCTTTTTGCAAAGCGAATACTTTTTTTTACTGATATGCCAAGTTAACTACGATTTTTATTTATTTATAAATAATTAAAAGCAGCTAAGGTGATTTTTATATAAGTTTATATTGCAATAATTAAGCAAATTTGAATTTCTATTAATTAAAAACTTTCAATTTTTTTAGTTAGTAATTAGAACCATTAGATGTGTATTTAAAATCAGATTATAAAAAATTTAGCAGATAAGTACTATATATACAGCATATATTTTACACTAAATAATATTGTAAAATTTATTAATTGAAGTCTATATAATTTCAGGCTATATATCGTTAACTAAGTTATTTAGAAGAAGTTCTATTGAATGTAGTACAGTATCTTGGGCGCTATTTTTCAAACATGATATAGAAGAGAATTACTCGATATTTACTTGAAATTGGCACAACTGCTTGTTTTATTATTTTTGCCCACGTGACCTGAATGTATAATTTAAAATAAATTTTTTTTAAAATTCAGTCTTAACAATCGTGTATAAAAATCAATTCATAAGTTATTTAAGAATCAAGCAGATTGCATAACAGGAAAATTATTACTATTCATGTTTTATTTAAAGCAATCATGAGAATTTTAATAAAGTTGTACTGGTCTGAGAATATAAGTGTATATTGGTACTACGTACGTATGTATACCTTAATTCGAATTTACTAATTTAATTCAGATTTAACCCAATTCGAATTTCAACTGAATGTATTACAAAGAATCTAAATTTCATTCGAATAGCCTTTAAAAATTAGGATCGAAGCACTAATATATATATTAAATTAGCTTATTTAACTATATCTTTCTCTACGATTAAGATGTTTAGATTTAAGTTTAATACTCATAGACTAATTTTATACCCCACCTAAAAAATATTGAGTAAGATTTTTAAAATAGAAAATCCAAATACATTAAATTTTTTTGTATCTTGATTTGTTGGCTTTTCGGAAATATGCTGTCTGGGAAGAATTGGATCAGTTCTCAATATCTCTTGTAAAGAAATGGTCGTGGTTGCATTTTGACTATCTTGGCTTCAAATAGATTTTTTTTTAGTTTCTTTTTATATATATATATATATTAAATTAGCTTATTCGACTATACCTTTCCCCATAATTAAGACATTTAGATTTAAGTTTATTACTCATAGACTGATCTTGTACCTCACCTAAAAAATATTTAATAAGGTTCTTAAAATAAAAAATCCAAATACATTAAATTTTTCATACCTTGTTTTGTTGGCTTTTTAGAAGTATGCTGTTGGAAAGAATTGGATCAGCTCTTAATGTCTCTTGTAAAAAAATGGTCATGGTTGCATCTCAACTATTTTGGCTTTAAATAGATTTTTTTTTTAGTTTCTTTATATATATATATCTTATTCGACTATACCTTTCCTCACGATTAAGACATTTAGATTTAGGTTTAATACCTGTAGAATAATTTGGTTTCCTACCAAAAAAATATTTAGTAATATTTATAAAATAAAAAATTAAACTTTTTCATACCTCATTTTGTTGCTGTTGTCTTCTCAGTTAACATCTTGGTTTTAATGTTCATACTTTTTTTTGGCATTTTAAAATCTGTGTACCAATTAATACTAATATAGTTTTACTTGAATAGTTTATTTTATTTTAATATTTTAGTTTTTTTTTTTAGTTTTATGAAAATGCCTTCAATCAAGGCTCGGCTTTGATTTTTTCTATAATGAAGTATATATTTCAGTATATAAAAGTTTTAATCTGCTATTAATTACAATTTCTCTTTTATATTGTACAATTTATTACATATTATAATTAATCAATCATATATATTATTGATAATAATAATGATATGCTTTTATTTTCTAACTAATAAAATGTCAAATTTGTATTTTATTAAGTTGTTAACATAGCTGTATATTTTCATATCAGTTGATTATATATGTAACATATAGATAATACCATAAAAGAATTCGCTTGGATTGTATCCAGTAAATTATATATTTAAAGGCTCAAAGCGAGTTTTCCTTTGACAGCATCTTATATAAGTTACAGAGAGCCGAGATCGATTATTAGGATATTATGAAAGATGAATATAGAAAATGCAAATTTATTTATATTATAATAGACAAATATAAAAAATGCAAGTTTATTTTTAACTGATACAGGAGGTAATCATTAATACAAATAATATTGTAAATATGTACATATAAACATATAATAATGAAAGATAAATAAATAAGTAGGAATTTATCATAATTGATCAAACTTCTTCCTTGTTTGAGCGCTAAAATTTTTTTTCGCCATTATTTTGTTGTACTTAAAGAAAAGTGTTAGTCAATAAAACTAGCTTAGTATTACAGAAGTGAAATTATAAAGTGGTGTAAAAGGAAATATACTATCGTGAATTAAATATAAAGATCTAACAACATAATATTTATAATTAAATATATATAATATATATCTAAAATGCAAATACCTACATTGCGTACTCAGAACAAAAAGTGAAAAATTAACAATCTAGTTTTAAAACTTTGTAAATACCAACACATTAGTGTCACTGAAGTAGAAGCAGGTGTCTCAAGTCTATATTTATTGCAAGACTCTTCTGTGATTATTGCTAATAATATTTCACCATTACCTAGTATTATATTCAAAGAAACCAATTTCTATCTTCTAAATAAAAATATTAATAGTCAAGATAACTTCCAAGAGAATAGTAGCCAAGGTGATTTCTAAAAGAGTAATAACAATAGTGATTTTTAAAAAAATGATGGCTCAAGTAATTTTCAAGAGAATGATAGCCAAGGTGACTTTCAAGAGAATGATATCCAAGATGACTTCCAGGAGAATGATAGTCAAGATGATTTTCAAGAGAATGATAGCCAAGGTGATTTCCAAGAGAATGATAGCCAAGGTAATTTCAGAGAGAATGATAACCAAGACGGCTTCTAGGAGAACAATAGCAATATTTTTTTTATTACTCAGATTAGCAATATTCTGAAGCATTTTGTAGCCTGATTGAAGAAGATAAAGAGTTTGAAAATGAGATAAATATAACTGACTTTATATTAGAAAAACCAAAGCTTTCAGAAAGTCTTGAAAATAAATTTAGCCTATATTTTGTGAACTTTACTGAAATGTCTTTTTTTATTTGGGTAATGAAACATTCTATTAGTAAGTTAAAATATATATTTGTTTTTTAATATTTACTTATTTCTTACTAACCTTTTCTACTAGCAACCATGGCTTATCAGGAACTTGTAAAAATTATATTACATGATCAGTTTGTTTCTTCTGAAATGCCACAAAATATATACACATTAAGACAATATTGATTAAGGCTATCTAGTCTACTAGTTCATCAACATAAAGTTCAAATTAATATTCATAAATCGCCCTTCACATCATTGCCAGTCAAGAATGCATACACTTTGTCTGTTCTTGATTATATAAAACAAATTTTAAAAAACTAAGAACTTTTCTCAAAAATGTATTTTGGTCCTGGAATTGAAGAAAATAAAACTGAATTTTGGCATGGAAAATTTGGTCTAAATCACCTTTGTTTAGCAACAATATATTAAAAATTACATTTTCAGATATTGTTTTTTAATTACTTTTCCTTATACCTGATACAGTAAAGCCTCTATAAGTGCATCAACTTGGGACTGAACTTTAACAATGTGTATATAGAAAATAATAAGAAAGAACGTATTTATAGAAATTATATATTTTTGGGCAAGACTTTGAGTGTGCATTTATAGAGGCCATATATTTATTCAGGCAAGAATTTGAGTGTGTATTTAGAAAGGATGTGTACTTATAGAAGGTGCACTTATGGAGGTTTTACTATAAATTGTATTATTTATTTAATTAATAAATTATATTTATATATTTAAACCAACCCACTTTAATCTATCGAATTGGTAATTTTATTTTCTATATAGATCAGCAAAATTATTTGCAGATTAGTTTTTTGTATGCGTTTGTAGGTTCTAAAAGTAAAAATACAACAACTCTGGAAATATCCTATGAAATTAGCACATTTGCATTCAGCTAAAAGATTATCAAAATTATGACGTAGAAATTTATGGCTAGCTGACAAACAATTTTTAATAATACCCACTAGATAGATTCAAAACCAAGTAAAAGTTTGGCTTATGAATCAACCTGAACCCGAGGAGTATAAATACCTTGTAGATGAAATTGTATACCAATATAATCGATTATAGAAGATTTGTCCAGTACAATACCAACACTGATATCCATGTGAATCTATTGACTTACCTTTGATACTATCTGGCTTTCGATGTTTACGATTCTTTATTGATTTATATTATGATGACTTTGGGACATTTAGAAATGTTTATCACTCACTTGGTGAAGTGTATATTCAGTTTGGGAACCTGCCTTTTATCTGCAAAAGCTGTTAAAAAACTATTTTCTTATAAATTTTGTACCTTTTGGTGCTAATTTTGAAGACTTTATAAAACTATTTATCGCAGATATACTGCAATTACAAAAGAGTATTAAAATGGTAATACAATTAAATAATATTTTTTTTATATGATTCTCTTATAGCAAAACCTCCATAAGAACACTCTCTATAATTCTTGCCTAAATAAATACAGTATATGATCTTTATAAATTCACTTTTCTTATTGTTTTCTAAGTGCATGCTCTTAAATTTTGGACCCAAGTGCGTGTACTTATAGAGGTTTTACTGTATGTAAAACAGATTACTATATTTTTTGAATTTACTTATATTTTATAATAGTTTTGAATTTATATTTTTCTAATCACTTTTTTTTTTCTTTACTAAAAGACTATGTATAATGAAGATGAGGTTTACATCAGAGGTGGCTTAGATGTAGCTACGGCTGATTTGCCCCAGGGCAATGATCTTTGTGGAGTCAAACACCATAATGCCAACTATAAGTGTAGGAGTTGCAAAGCTGATATCTCTAAATTAACTGACTTCAATTATGATATTATTCAACATTCTCGCTATCATCAAATCACAAATATCCAATTTTCTAAAATACGGTCACAAGACAATTCCTTAAAAAAAATGATGGTTGCTGCAAAATACAGCTTGTGCTTAAAAAAGAACATTTTAGATGTGTTATATCATGATCAATATCAACAATGCCCCCAAGATCTCTACTATGCAACAGCAGAAAAAGTAAAAAAGCTAATGAAATGTACAATTACTCTTTTTAATAATAAAGGAATTGAAGCATTTTTAAAAGTATGAAAATTGCTAAAGTCTTGGGCAAAATTGCCTAATCCTATTTCTTATTAGAAAAGTTTCATAATATTAGATTCGTTTCATCTTACAATATTAATGCCTCATATTTTGAATTGCTTTTTAATAACTCAACATATTAAAGAGAATGCACTTACTAACCTTTGGAAAACAACAAGATGTTAACATCATGATTAGGTGATTGGCTTAATCATAAGGTGTTGGGTATATCTTTCTCTTTCTATAAAACAGTTGTTTGCTATCTCATTCCTTAAAAATGATAATTTTGAAACACTAAAACAAACACTAAAAAAAGAGTATAATTGTTTAATTAAGATATTTATATATACAGCAAAGCCTCCATAAATTCATCTTCTATAAGTACACATTCTAACTAAATGCACACTCAAATTCTGACCCAAATACAGTAAAACTTTACAAGTACATGCACTTGGGACCAAACTTTAACAATTAGAGAACAGTAAGAAAAAATGCATTTATAGAGGCCATATATTTATTTGGGCAAGAATTTGAATGTATATTTATAAAGGCCATATATTTATTTGGGCATGAATTTGAGTATGTATTTAAAAAAAGTATGCACTTATAGAAGTTTTACTGTATATATAGCCTTGATAAATTCACTTTTTCTTATTATTCTCTAAGTGTGTGCTGTTAAGATTCAATCTCAAGCACATGCACTTATAGAGATTTTACTCTATATTGTCTTCTCATTGATTTTTCTATATTATAACTATCTTTAGGTATTCTCAGAATCCTTCCTTTATCTTTTAAATCTTTACATTAATGTACATTTAATTATGAATGCCAAGAGCTATGGGACTTTGATTAATACTGCATGCAGTGTTAAAGAGTCTATACATGGTTTATTTAAAGTGTTTGTTCCATATACCAACAAAAAAAATATCGTTCTTGATTTTTTAAGACATTAGAATACACTTCAGACATTATATTTTTGGCTAGATAGTGGACAAGATGAATGCATTCTAGATTCAGATTATTATGTGGATTCTTCTTTGCTAAAACTATTGCTTTCTGGATAGTATATTACAAAATCACTTGATCTAATTGATAATTTGGAATCTGATGAAATAAATAGTATGCTCAATTTGCTAGTTATTAAGACAATAATTTATTACAAATTTATCATATTCGAAGAATTAATATAAGCTCATTATAACAAATACTAATTAGTTTCTATTTTGTAATAATATTTTTACAAAGATAAAATTTTTTGCAATGATTATCAATTTATAAAAATCCATACTCGAAAACTCTAGAGAAACAAAGAGATTTAGGAAAGAGGTTTTACTAGATGGAATCTTGACAAAGACAATTATGGTCTTGACTCAGACCTTTATAAAGCTTATTGTGAAGAATTCAAAATGTTTGCTATGCCAAATACATACAAGATTTCATTTTTTGAGTATATAAGCTATTTTGTGAAAAATGATGATTTTTTAGCAGAACAAAAATTTAATATTAAAGTTCAAGTTGGTGATATAGTAGAGATAAAAGAGAACAGTAATTCAGATAATAAGTTATTTGCAATGGTTAAAGTGATTATTACACATCAAGCAAATGATGGAAAAATCTATGCTTTTTTTATTTTTAGCTAGTTTGAAGATCTAAAAAAAAACACATCCAATTCTGGAATGTGTACAATTTCGGCTCCAATATGAAACTGATTTTTAACAATAATGCATTTTCACTATCTCAATAGTGAATTATCAACAACAATATCACTTTCTGCATAATTGTAAAAAGGCTTGTAATAATAACCAGCATAACCAAATTAACCAAAATTATTTGCATAATGATTTTTATTTCAAGGTTATTTAAACAATAAAATTTTATTTATATATGAGAGTAATATTAAATAACTTGTATGAAACATAGTTAATATAATATTAGCATTAGTATTTAAGACCTAGGACCTAGATATTAATCAAGAGTTAACATTCAAAGGTAATACAAATATACTCTTTAGTACCCTATTAGAGTATAGACTTCAGGTATCATAAGTAAATTGTGCAATGAGGAATAACTTTAATTGTATTCAGTCAGAACAAAATAATTCTGAATACTATTGAAAAGTGAAAAGAATTATATTTACCAAAAATTACAGTACTCTTTTTCGTTAGAACAATTTTGTACTAAGAGTGTTATATTCGATTAAAACCCTCAACTATATTGCTATAATACTTAATGATATTTAATAACTTTACATTCTGTTAAGTATGTTATTTACAGGCAGTAAAAAACACTCTAAAAGAGAACTAAGCTTTCTGAGTTACTGATAAGACTAAAACTATCTACTAACTTACAATCCTAATTTACAAGGCTTTTTCAATTAAGGCATGTGTGGGTTTAGTCCAAAGGATTAGAGTTCTTTACCAACTGAGCTTTTACTTTATATTTTAATAATAAACTGCTAACTAACCTATATGACCTTGTTCACGATTGGATCCAAAAGCACCTCGAAAAATTATGCGTAAATTACGATGTTTGATTATAAGAATGATTAAATCATAATAATTATCATCATGATTATTTATTATAATTTCATTATTGGCAAAAGTATTTATCTTTACTAATAAGATAGATACTATTAATAATAAATAATTTCATTAAAGATACCAATTTAAAACTTGTGATATTTGTCTAATACAAAAGAAATGTCAAAATAGTTATATAAAAAAATTTTAGTATTAAGGTTCACAAAATGCTTTATTTTTTACAATAAGCTTACAATATTCAAATTTTTTCAAATATGGGTAACAGAAGTAGCACAGAGGTGTTAGCTATAGCAAGTAACTACTAAGTGAGCGAAGCAAGCTTAGTTGGTATTGTTGAGTGTTAGGAAGCAATACAAGTTATATTGTCTTTAATAAAGTTGTTTTTAGAAAATATTTAATTGCATATTGCTAATAAATATAATTAAAAATTATTAAAATTATTAAATAAAAATAAAAATATTTATTTTATTAAATTTTTTATTTAATAATGTTAAAGCCTAGTGCTATGCACTGGGTTAGAGACTAGTTTTATTTATATTTTTGTAACTTT